AACCGAAGTTTGTTAGAGAACAGGGGGCACAGCCACAGGGATCTCGTAATGCAGGAAACAAACAAGGCGTGGGATATCAACAAGCTCCACCTCCATTCCCACCACCAGCCAAAATTATACATATGATTATGGGAGGCTTGGAAGTAGGAGGTTTGAGCTCTAAACAGCGAAAGTTGTACGTCAGAGAGGTGAAGCATCAAAACTGAGCTCATAAAAGAAAGTTTGACGATGCTTACTAGAAGAATCAACCCATCACTTTCACATTTGCTGATTTCGACATAGTTGTCACACCTCACAATGATCCTCTGGTCACTTTTGTCATGATTAACAACTGTGAGGTACAACGTGTCCTTGTTGACACAGGGAGTGCACCAGACATTATGTACTTTCATTGTTTTGAGAGTCTTGGGCTAGATCTAGCTTTGTTGCAGAGGTACGATGGCCATATCTATGGATTCAACAACCAACCTGTTCAAGTCAAAGGAGTTCTTACTCTCAATGTTGCTTTTGGAAGTGGCCGAACTTATGTTACCCCTTCAGTTCGATTTTTAGTTGTCAAAATGGCGTCCTCTTTCAATGTTGTTATTGGCTTACCCACATTGACCGAAATCCGAGCTGTGGTTTCCCAATCTCATCTCTACATGAAGTTCCCAACTCCCATTGGGATAGCAACACTACGGGGCAATTGGGAGGTGGCTAAACATTGCTACATTACCTCAGTCACAATATCTCAGAAAGGCAAAGATCAAACGCCGGAAACCATTCCCCAATGAATTCCAGACAATTAGCAAGTAATGGGTGTTGAGATAGTAGATAACCGACCAGAGGATGAAACCAGAGCTGCTCCAGTTGAAGATGTCGAGGAAGTGCAAATTGACGATAAAGATCCAAGCAGAAAGACACAAATTGGAACTCTATTGAGCCCGAAGGAAAGAGCAGAGCTAATAGCTTTTCTCCGCGCTAACAATGATGTCTTCGCTTGGACTTTGGCAAACATGCCAGGAATTCCAACCTCGGTATCCCAGGATAAGCTCAGCACCAATCCATTGAAGAAACTAGTAGCCCAGAAGCGACGTCTCTTCTGGGGGGAGAGGCTTCAGGTTATAAAGGAAGAGGTAGAGAAGCTCCTACAAGCTGGTTTCGTCAGAAGAGTTGATTACTGCGAATGGGTGGCTAACCTAGTGTTGGTTAAAAAGGCAAATGGTAAATAGTAAATGTACATCGACTACACAAATCTCAACCAAGCTTGCCCCAAGGATTGCTATTCGATGCCAAGCATTGACAAACTGGTTGAAGTGGCTTCTAGAAATGAGAGATTAAGTCTCTTGGATGCATATTCTGGTTATCACTAGGTGCCGATGGCTCCAGAGGATGAAGAGAAAACCTCGTTCTATGCTGGTGACGAAATTTATTGCTATGTCATGATGCCATTTGGCTTAAAGAACGCAGGTGCTATTTACTAGAAAATGGTGACCATCGTCTTCTGAGCTTAGATCGGCAGGAATCTGGAAGTTTATGTCGATGACATTGTGGTAAAGAGCCTGAAAGCAGAAGACCATCTAGCTGATCTCGATGAAACTTTCAACAACCTCAAAAAAAAAAAAAAACAGAATGCCGTTAAACCCAGCCAAACGTATCTTCGGTGTGAAGTTTGGGAAATTTCTAGGCTTTATGGTTTCCCGAAAAGGGATTGAGATCAACCCAGAAAAGATCAGAGCAATTGCCGAGATGGAACCGCTGAAATCGGTAAAAGATATACAGAGATTAATTGGAAGGGTGGCAACTCTTCATAGATTTATATCGAAGTCAGCAGATAAGTGCCTGCCATTCTTCAAGATCATGAGGTCAGCAGCCTAGAAGGACGAATCTGGCAAACAGAAGAAGTTTGAATGGAACCAAGAATGCCAAGTTGCATTCGATGAGCTGAAGTCTTATCTTTGCTCCCCACCTCTACTGACTATGGCTATAGATGGAGAAATTATCTATTTGTACCTTGGAATTTTAGATGAAGCAATTAGTTCAGTTCTGGTGAGAGAAGAAGCCAAATAACAGAAACCGATCTATTGTATAAACAGCGTGTTGCATGGTGCAGAACTAAGGTATCCTATTGCTGAGAAAGCAGAATTAGCAGTTGTCACTTCGGCCAAAAAGCTGAGGCCATATATCCAGTCACACCCAATTATCGTCCTCACAGATCAGCCTCTTCAACAGATCCTTCAGAAGCTAGAGTGTTCTGGAAGGTTAATTAAGTGGGCAGTAGAACTAGGGGAATTTGAGATAACATTTCAGCAGAGATCTGTGATCCGAGCTCAAGCACTGGCAGATTTCCTCGTAGAATGCACCCCATGTCACTCAACCCCTAATCCCGAGCCCAACGACTGGACCTTATATGTTGATGGAGCATCTAGTTGCAAGGGTTCAGGAGCTGGTGCTCTCTTAATTGGCCCAGATGGATATCGAAGTGAGCATGCTCTGAAATTTAATTTCGATGCAACAAATAACATGGCTGAGTATAAAGCTCTACTACTTGGTTTGCAACTAGCATTGGAGCTGAAAGTCATGGCGATACAAATATACAGTGACTCGTAGCTTGTGGTTAATCAAGTCAACTCAATCTGCGAAGCCATTGATCATGTGATGATGAAATATGTAGCCTTGGTGGCCGAGCTGAAGTGCAAATTTCAGAAATTTTGTCTGAACAAAATTCCCCGAACTAAGGATGAACAAGCAGATTCACTTTCTAAGTTCGCCTCTGATAGCTCTTTAAGCTCCAGATCAGTTTTTGTGGAAGTCTTAGACGAACCAAGCTTCATGAAGCCACGAATGATGGAGATCAGCACAGACCCGGACACACTGAGCTTGACTGACCCAATTATCTCCTTTTTACAAGACGGGACAGTGCCTGAAGACAAGCAAGAGGCAATGAGGTTGAGGAAGAGAGCATCTCGATATACACTTGTCGATGGGGTCCTTTATAAGAGATCTTTCTCACTCCCTCTTCTACGGTTCTTGAATCCTTATGAAGCTAAGTACACACTTCGGGAGGTGCATGAAGGTGTCTGTGGGAGCCACATTGGTGCTAGAACCCTGGCTCACAAAGTTCTAAAGAATGGATATTACTGGCTAAATATGTATAAAGATGCTATTCATTTTGTTTAGAGATGCTCGAAGTGCCAATTCTTCGCACATTTGACTCACCAACCAGCAGATGAGCTTACGAACTTGGTAGCACCGTGGCCATTTGCTCAGTGGAGAGTTGATCTTTTGGGCCCATTCATGAAAGGGGTTGAAGGTGTAACCCATTTGATTGTTGGAGTTGATTATTTTACGAAATGGGTTGAAGCTCGGCCATTATCCAATCTTACTTCCAAAAAGGTCGAATACTTTGTTTTTGGCTCAATTATCTATAGATATGGGATCCCAAACCAGATTGTGGCTGACAATGGTACTCAGTTTAATTGCTCCTTTTTTCGAGATTTTTGCTCTAGTTACGGGATTAAACTATAGTTCACCTTGGTTTACCATCTGGAGTCCAATGGTATGGTAGAATCTGTTAATAAATCTATCTTAGAAGGAATAAAGCTGAGGTTGGAATAGCACAAGGCCAAGTGGGCAGACAAGCACAACAGCGTCCTTTGGGCATATAGAACTATGAGCCGAACTGCCACAGGTACTATTTCCAACCCAAGCTACTTTCATTGAACTTTTATTTTCTCACTTGCGGCTCTACCTTAGATCAAATATGCATAATATATAAAGTATATTCTAAAGACTATAATTTCAAGAAATAGGTAAAACGCCTTACCACCTAGCCTTTGGTACCGAACCAATCATTCCTATTGAAATAGGAGTACTAAGTTTCAAGGTAACCCATTTCGATGAAGGACAAAATGGACAACTGCTTAGAGAAAACCTTGATCTGCTTGCCGAAGTCAGAGAAGAAGCACGGCTTCGAACTCTTATATACAAGTAGAAATTAGCCAACTTCTGCAACAAACGAGTCCGCCCTCGAACATTCAAAATAGGAGACCTTGTTCTCAAAAAGGCTGCCCTAATAGGGTTTGAAACTTGTTTTGGCAAACTGGCCCCAAACTGGGAAGGCCCTTATATGGTGGCCGAAGTGCCACATCCTGGTGCCTATGTCCTCCAAGACGCTGAAGGGAAGAAAGTTCCTAGAGTTTTGAATATCAATAACTTGAAGAACTGTTACCCCTAATAAACTTCTTTCAAGTGACCTATGTCTTATTCTCCTTTATACTAATTACTTCTTGATTGTTGAGATTCATTTTACCTCTTATTCTGTATGTCCGAGGTCAATTTGTTTAGAATTTTATTCCTTGAGCTTCACTTTTATTAATGAATGTCCCTTCACATCCGAAGTGCTTTACTTCTTTTTAATTCATCTCTAAAGTGCTTTACTTCTTTTTAGTTCATCTCTGAAGTGCTTTACTTCTTTTTAATTCATCTCTAAAGTGCTTTACTTCTTTTTAGTTCATCTCTGAAGTGCTTTACTTCTTTTTAGTTCATCTTTGAAATGATTTCCTTCTTTTTATTTCATCTCTGAAATGATTTAATTTCCCTCAAGACATATCCGAAGTAATTTACCTTATCTTAGTTCTTATATTGATATAAAACAACCAAAACTTAATGCAAACATTACACATGATTTCAAAAACAAAAATTATTATTACAATCAAAGAATCAAAGTTACAAATTATCACATTGTTCAAATTATCAAAAATATCAAAAACAAAAATTCTTCATTCTTTCGCTGGAGGAGGTGGCTGAGATGGCTACTGCTTGGCTAGAAGAGGTGGTTGCTCATCATCAAAAGGAACTGGATGGACCTCCACTTGCAAAGGTGGCTGACTCTCATCCACTTCAGCTCCTTCCACTCCTACTCCCACTTGAGTTTCCTCTACCTCTGCCTCTTCTTCCTCCATTGCCACGAACTCGAAGTCAAAACTTGGAGGGAAGACAGTGCGTCTGTCTGCATCACAATCCCACCTCAGTTTAATCTGAGGATGAAAGTCTGCTGACATGCTCTCACCGTTCTCCTCCACTCCTTCCTCTTACTCGTCGAAGGTGATCTTCGTAATATCCACTTCGAGTAGACCTGGTAATTTTTTATCCAACCCGTTAACCCGCCCATTACCCACCCATTTAAAATGGGTTAGGGTCATATCTTTATGACCCGTGACCCGTTAATGACCCATTAAGAGTACCCAACGGGTCACAGGTCAATAACGGGTTGACCCCTCGGGTTAACGGGTTTAACCCGTTTACCCATTTAAAAATATAAAAATTTTTAATTTATTATTTATATGTCTTGCTTTCCAATTCTCAATCCCACCTAAACTTCTAATAATTGACTAATATTTCCTAATTAACTAATTGATTCTCTTGACTCATCATCTTCTAGAAGTAAAAATAATCCCACTCCACTCATAACTCACCTTCCGACCTTTCCTATTCTTGCTTGCCCTAATACTCTCGAAGACTCTAACTCTTCAAACTTCAAACTCTTCTCAGATTCTTCAACCTCCATAGTTCATGCAGCCTTTGACTTTCAAGCTTCGACTCCACCTTTTCTCTTTAGTTGTTAACATTATTTCAGACTTAAATCTTAGTCTTATCGAGTCACCATTGTGTCCACTCAGGCTTTTCTTTTTTTCTCCTATGAGTCCGGCAAGTGCTCTTTTTGTCACTGACTTTTCTCTCTAAATACTTCAAGGTAAGTTGTTTACTTATTTATGCTTTTTAGTCTTCTTTCCATTCCAAGTAAAAATTTTACTTGATTTTCTCCTTTACTTAAATGCATTCAATTGATTATTCTTTGAAAGCAATGACCAAAACAAATATATTCCAATGAGGTTTGTGTTTTTTGGTTGTCATGCTACTACTGCTTTTTTTTTTTTTTCTGCTATTGAGATTTATAAGTGTTGTATTCTTGAATTTGATTAGCGTTGTTCTTTGAAGGGAAATAAAGAAGGTGATTCTGAGGAACTATAAATATGTATATATTAAATTAATAAAAAAATTATGTTTATAAGATGTTGAATTTCTTTTTTAAATCTTTTAAATAATTTTCTTTGAATGATAATAAATACAAATTATAGAGAAAAAAAAAGAAAAAAAATTTAATTGGGTCAACCTGCGGGTTGAGCCGTGACCCGTGATGGGCAGGTTAGGGTCTGCCTTCATTGACCCGTGACCCATTTTAACCCAACTCATTTTGACCCGTTATCCGTTCTGACCCAACCTTAACTCGACCCAACCCGCCCGTTTGCCAGGTTTAACTTCAAGATATTTAGCTTTTACCTTCTTTCTGCAGTCAGTGAAGGCGAGAATAGCAGTTGGTAGCCGGTAGAAGTTAACGATGTTGTCAAACAAGCTAGAGCTGACGAAGTTGCTTATGTGTTCCTCCATCCCGTTGTGCACCAGCAGTTGCACATTCTTCTTTAGCTCCATCACAGCCTCTTTCATCATCCTTATCTCCTTCTCTTGAGCCTCACGTTCGCTTTTAGAGATTCTTCATTTGCTCTCCTCAAAGACGAGCTTGGTGCTCAGGGAATCTCTCTCCTACTCGAGCTGCATCACTGTTGGTACCACCTTGTCCAGCGCCTCTCACATGTCTTTGTCTTTCTTTTCCAACTCTTCTTTCTCCTTCTGCAGCTGGCCACACTGCCTTTGCAAGAGGGATCGCTTCTTCACACTCTCCATGAATTCCTAGGCTTGACCATTCACCCAGCACGCACTCTGCAATTCAAACACAAGTTAAAAAAAAAAAAAAACAAACAAACAAAATAAAAACACCAACAGCTACAAACAAATCAACTTAGCATACCTCCAGGGCATGCTTCACCACAATTGCCCCACAATATCTCAGAGCTTCGTCCCTTGCTTGATGCTTGTCCACTTTAGGGAAGGTTGCATTGATAAACCTCCTTACCCCCGTCGTGTTCTTCGCCTCAAACAGACTGCTCTGAAAGGATAATAGGGGAATGAGGCCCTTCCCTTTACCGGGAGCCCGTACCTCAGCCCTTTCAGCCTCAGACTCCCTGAGATCAGGTTCGAGCTCAATAGGAGGAGGTCGAGGTACGAACTGGAGAGCCTTGCTCCCCCTCACCTCCTCCTCCACCACCTTCTTTTTCCTTTGCAGTGCTCCCACCTCTTCACTGCCCTTCCTTTTCAGCTCCAACCTTGGCATCACCACTTCCACTCCAGCTGAAGTGCTGGGCACTAACTCCTTCCCAGCTCCTCCCTGCCCAGCTTCCTTGGTTGAAGTCTTTGACTTCTTCCTCAGCTTCTTGGGAATGGCCACTCCTCCAGCAGCGTTCAAGAATTTGTCCAGTTCAGTTGTAAAACAATTAAAGAAAGTGTCAATAACACAACTCTATGCTTCACATCAAACACTACAATATAAAATCTAAACACACCTTCACTTAAAGCGCTTAGTCCATAGAGCTCAGCAGCCTCTATACATTCTGCACTGGTGAGGTACATTATATTTGCTAACTTACCCCTTTCCCTCACCAACTTCCCCACCTCTTCCTCCTCATCCTCGTTTAAACTAAACTTATTTGGTTGGCTCTCTTAGCCTTCCAAGATGACAACAACTCTACTTCGGCATCCCCTCTCTCCCACTCAGTATCATCTATAAAGAAAATTTTTTCCTTCCATCCTTTAATGGATGAAGGACCCACTGTAAATAAGCTCTTACTGTCTCTATTTGCCACCCTAAGGGTGAAATAATACCACCCCTTATCCTTCATACTACCCTCCTTTAAACCAAAAAAATATTTAAACATATTTATAGTTGGCACATTAACTCCTTGAGCTCGGTAATAAACTAAAAATCTTATTATTAACCTCATAGCGTTGGGGACTAATTGTGTCAACCCTATACTATAATCTAACAATAGACCCACTAACAACTCAGGAATTGGAAACCTAAGCCTAGCTGCCAAATAATGGGCATACACAAGCATTCAATGATCCCGAGGTGCAGAACAGGCCCTCTCCTTTACCCCAACAGGCCTAATTGGAACTTGGGAATCAATTTCATAACTCTCCACTAAATAACCCAGGCTATCCCTGGTCCCGAGCTCAGACTTATACTACTTCATCTCAGCTACAATATCTGCATCTACATCATAACCTTTTTCCCTCCTACCCTCCACTTCTACTATAGTAATGGGTACCCTATCTCCCTTTACCCCAACTACCTCACCTCTTCCCACCCCTTCCTCCGTCCTCTCCGAGTCAGACGACTCAGTGGTCATACTCACATCCCCATATTCTAACGCCCTCACCTCCTCACTTCCCCCAACACTCACAGTTATTTCAAAAGACATCTCTTCAAAGTTTGTAACTTTCACTGCATGGAATACAGGGGGGGAAGAACAAAATGAAATCAGAATTTTAAGAAACTCTAACCCACACTCGCCGTCACTCTCACTCTTAAACCTCCCTTCCTTCAAAAGACTTAGATCTAAATCAGAAAGGATGAGAAAGTAGAAGAAAACACACTCTAAAATCCAAATCACCAAAACTCATACGTTACCTTATCTCGGTTTTGAAAACTTGATGTAGAAGTCCACTAACGATGCAACAGTTCAGGCGTAGGAAGAACATAGTAGAGTTTTGACAGCAATTTTGTAGAAAATATAATGAAAGTAAATTTCTTTTCATAAAAATATGACTATTTATACCTCAGAGCAAAAATAACTCTCAACGGCTGGGATTAGTTTAATTTGACAGTTCTCATTCACACCGTTTCGAATTCAACTGTCTAACCCTAACAGGAATCGTTCGAATTCGACGATTTGTTTTTCACCCCATTTGTCTGACTGTCACAGTTACTTTTTTCA